CCACTTTAAACATGCACTCTCATTTAAGTAAGAAAACTTGCTTTTCAAGTGAGGGTATAAACTGAAGGAACCCATATCACTTTACTGAAAAACTTCCTGCACATGCAAAAGTGCCCGTAGCATGTTTCCATGCATATTCAGAAATGTGCCGGAAGTATGCTACCTGCACAGTCAGAAATGAATTTTAAAAAGTGTAGGAAGAATTGGGAAAAGTGTACGAAGGATTTCAAAAAGTGCAGGTAGAAATGAAAAAGTGTAGGAAATATTCCTGCAAAATCCCCATATTTTTTACATGTGCAGGAAGAATTTAAAGCTTCCTCATATATATTCTTCCTGCACATGAGCTAGTTGTACCGGAAATTTCTTACATTTTGCTTGAAATTCCTGCACATGTAGGAAATTTCCGGCACATTCCCCATAAATTATGATATGGGTTCCTTTGTTTAAATGATAGTGTTTTTAGCAAGCAAAGCAGGTCCAACATTTCCCCCCTATAGTAAGGTAAAAATGTAATCAAGCATATCTAGCAGATTCACTATTATTCCTGCAAAGGCTACTCAACTATGCTTTATGTTCTCCATACCTATCTCTAGATATGAAATAATGAAGAGTTGCTGGTCCCTGAAGCCCAGGGAGCGTCCAACATTCCAACATTTGGTGGGCCAGTTTACAAGTATTTTGGAGAAGACTTCAGGCTACTTGGAATTAAGTCAGGCTCCGAGTCTACTTGACTTCCGCTGGAAGGACACTTCCCCTTCCTCTCACCCTCCTCCCTCTTCTCCACCTGCTGCCCTTCCTGTTCTACAGGAACAAGAAGAACCCGAGGATGGGAATGAGGATGAATTTTGAAACGAGGAAAGTGCTCTACTCATGTGTACACAAGTTAAAATACTCTTATGACACCTACCTAGCAAATCAGTGTGTGTTTATTTTACATGAAGTTCTAGAGTAGCTCATCAATTATCGGACACCATCACCCGGACGCAGCCATTTCTCTCGGACCAGACAGAGTTAGCTATCCTCGCTACGTTCAGTACCTCAGAGGGTGTCACTCAACAGGCATGCACTGTACCAGCTTCGGCAGAGGGACAGTAACGCTACGGCGGCACAAAGTTCGCTCACAGTCCGAACCACCGTCTGTCGGAATATGGCCCCTATGTTCGGACAGTGCTTGATTGTAAAGCTAAAGAGAAACCTCCACACTATAGTACTAGGAATGCGCACGCGCATATTTTGCCTCGCGCCCAGCCGATGTCCGACTGAGGCCGCTCGTACGCGCGCTCTACTGACTGCGCGCGAAGCCAGACTTCCTGCCTACGAATCTGCGCGCACGGCGGATCGGAAGCTAGACTTGTTACGAATGACGGAAGTTGACATTCCTAAGCGTGACTAATTGACATTCCCTAAAGTTGCGTTCACCTTGCCGGTAGGAAATGAAATTTCAAAGCGCAGCGTGGTTGTAGTTGACCGTAGGTCTGCTTTGCGAGCGCGTCCAACACCCACTTACGTACTTAGCTGTATCCAAAGTACGCGACGTTCCTTTCACCACGAAAATGCAATCACGCGGGTCCCAATGTGCGCGCTTACGCGTAGAGTGTGCGCGCGTAGCGCAGCTCGAGCAAGAACCCTCTCTCTCCGCCGCTACTGCGGGAGCTCAGGCCAAGGAAAAGGCAAAAATGAGAGGTTTGTTGTTTGAATAAACTGTCTTTACTAGAAAAACTCACGGAACCACACGTAACGCACGTGCGGCATATTATATAGCATCCACCGCCCACAAATATTCGCGATATTTCAATTATGACGCAATCTTGCGTAAACAGTTTTGACTAGTGCACTTCCGGCGGCAAGGTGAACGCGAACAGACTTTAATTGACATTACCCAAGCGTGACTAATTGACATTCTTAAGCGTGACCGACATGTACATATAATGTAATTAGACAGAGAGTTAACCCGAGCGAACAGGCGGTGCCCGGCGCCCGGCGCGGGAGCTAGGAGCATGCGCTGTCGGCTGCAGAAGCGAGCATGCGTTTGGGACGACCGACCGCGTGTTCGCCATTGCTGCCAGGGCGTAAGATCGGGCTCTCTTGCCGTTTCTTTTTCTTCACGTCGTTCAGCGTCTGGCCCTCTTCTTATTTCTACTCTCGCGTGATGTCTACAGTCGCAGACCGAGCGGGAGCTGACGAGGCCACCATTCCCCCGGGAAACGTATATATACCCGAGCGGCAACCGCGGCCGGAGACTCGGCATCAGCAAAGCCGCCTGCGTCCCTCCCTCATCAGCTGCGTCCTCAGCAGCCCCGGATAAGTACTCTCATATTATATGGGTCCAGGTATATACCCAGTAGACCAGCTGGCTTGAGCACCGAGTTGCTCTGGGCTGTCGACACCTACGGCAGGTGTATCCACCCCGGGCCTAGCACGTGGGTAGACTAGCTGGCTCCAACACCGGGACGCTGTGCGCAGGCGACACCTACGGCCTCGGCGGCTGTGGCCGGGTCCACTGCTCGGTGCCACGCCTAACGATGCTTTCCCAGGCTCGGAAGCTGCCTCGTTGCCCGATGGCGTCCGCCGGCAGCGGAGACCCTATAAGCTTGACGGCCCACCCGACGTGGCCCTCGCCAGTAGCAACCGTGGCCGACAAAAACGGGTGCTCGGAGGATCTGGCACGCCTTCCTGGTTTCGGCTCTGTGCAGCAAAGAAAATCGTGTCGAAAGAGTACGTGGATTACTCATGTCCGAGTCTTGGCGGACGGCCCAATGCTGCCGTGATGAATCTGACCGCTGCCTCTTTTTCTTGGAGGCATGGTTTGGTTTGGAGGTACAATCTATACACCTGTTCGGCAGGGAGAATCGGACCGCTGCCAGTCATTCTCTGTGCTGTGCCTTTTCGGGGGGGTATATACCCTTTCCCCGTGTTCGCGCAGGAGGGCATCGCGCCAGCAGCATCCGGACGTGGCTGCTGTCCGGCACGCCCAATTTATATTTATCAGGGACACTCAGAACCGCGGGAGTTGTCGTCCCTGCCCCGATTACGTTTCATTATCGCGACTATTTGGTCGGCAGGGTCTGCTATATTTTGCCGCTAGGCTTAGACCCTTTTACATACTGAGAGGAATTGATCGAGCAGAGCGCAGAAAGCCATGTCTGAGATGGAAGAGTACGCAGGTCTCACAGCCAACGAGGCCAAAGCTCCGATGGACAACGATGGTCCCGCTATTGGGGGAGGAGAGGCGTCGTACACAGCAGCGACTGTACTGCAGATTGAGGCGAAGCAGACGCCGGTATCCGTCTACACTTACCAGCCACAGCCCTTGTGGCAGAGCCGCGATCCTAGCGAGGATCACCTTCAGCGTCAGGTCGCCGCGGCCTCCGCAGATCGCATGTATGCAATCAGCATTGGTTGGTGCATCGTCTGCTGTCTCTGCGGGTCTCCGCTCACCTTGGCCTGCTTCATTCCAGCCATTATCATGTCAACGAAGGTAATCATGGGGTCTTATATTACTCACTAGCTACATACGTTCAAATTTTCATGGTATCGGGTGCCACTTGGTTTATTGATGATAACCGAAAATGTGATCCTTGATGCGCAGGTGCATGAATATGCAGCTGACGGAGACACCACCAGGGCTCGTAAGGCACTTCTTGCTGCCCGCATCTTGACTGCCATTGGCATTGTGTCTGGGATCGTGATTGTGGTGATTGCAATCATCCTCAGGGTGGTCGGAAATAGTAGCGGCGGGAGTTCCCAAGGCCAAAGCTAACAACAACACATGATACTAACTTGCACTGAAACAGTATAGTTTTATGATAGTTTCTGCTGTTTTTGAACTAGCTAGATATAACCTCTGTTTTTTCTACCACAAATTATGCCAAAACACACCACTTCTAATGTCAGTGGTAGAATAACTAAATCCTTGACAGACAACATGCATGCAGATCCTTCGCCAATCACTGGCAATTAAAGTACAATGATGTAGCTAACATTGTAGTACATACTAAAGTACAGCCTAGAACCTCGCAAATAATGTTGTGTACTCTATACTGAGCGATGGATATAATATAGTGCGCTAGAGTCCCAACATCCTCTGTATACCGTAGTCCCTGTTCTACCACAAACAGGACGGGTTCAGATTGTACATTGGATTAGGGATAGCCCTCAGCATGAAATCATGCACATAAAATGTAGATTATATACGCGAAGGCACAATTAAAATTCCGCGCATGCTCACGCGTACTATATATATATACTATACACCGCGGAAGGCTTGGGTTCTGAGGCTGTTTGCGACGACGAAGCGCTGGAACTCGGCTGGAACTTTCTCTTCACCGGGTTACCTCACTGTTTTCTCAGTTACCGACACTACGTAAAAGGCCCGCGGTATGGAGGACTTTGCGAGTCTGACTGCAGAGGCTAGAAGCCATGACGACAACCGCGAAGAGACGTCGCCAACCCAAAAGTACCCGCCAGCTTACCCGCCCAGCTCGGCGACGGCTATCCCACAGACGGCGGCCGGCGGGTCAGTAACGGCGTCTGTTCTCACGTACCAGCCGCAGCCTTACACGTGGGGGAGCGGTATCAGCGAAGAGGGACGCGGCAACCTCGGCGGCAACCCCTCGCACGCCGCAGCCGATCGTATGTTTGCCATCAGCGTCTGCATGTGCATTGTCTGCTGCCTCTGTGGTTCTCCGCTCACCTTGGCCTGCTTCATTCCGGCCATTCTGCTGTCAGCGAAGGTAAGCTCGTAAGTAGTGTAGCTATACGTAGCTAGCTACATCACTTAGCTGGCAGTAAGCCAAAGAGGGCATTTGGACAAACTACTTTCTCCCTTGGAATGTGTATATATAGCTAGCTATAATTTAAGCTCTTGCATTGGTGTTTTGACCGGGACAGGTGAATGACCTTGCAGAAGATGGGGACAGAACCAAGGCTCTCAACACTGCACGAGTCTTGATCATCGTTGGCGCTGTGGCTGGAGTCGTGATTACAGTCATTGCTATCATATGGAATGTCTATCGAATACGCAGCCTGCAAAGTGAAGAAGATCAAAATGACTATAACTGAGAGTATAACCTCACCCACCTGAACAGTACACTGACTCCTAGCTAATATAGTAATAGTATGGTTGTGTTATTTGCTCTAAACAGTTTTGCTATGTTCTGGTAGTGTACATGTTACGAGAATTTCACTAAATTTGTCGATGAGAGTGAGGAGCTGCGACCTCTGAATGTTCTCTTTCAGCATTATCTCCTCCAAATGCTGATTTCCACGAAAATATTTGCATAATCTATAAAAGACAGTGATAGTGCATGATCCGATGAAGCAGGCAAACTGCTAAAAAACCCATAAATTCATCCCACGCTGTAAACATGAAAATGCTTTTTGCTGGCAACCACCCAATTTACAATGCCAATGGCAATGCATAGCTACAAGCTATGACACAGCATGTAATAAGAGAACTTCATGTTTGAAAACTGGGCACCATAACAATGAAAAGCAATAAAGTGCAAACTCTCGGCGAACTGTGCATGCGCTGTACCTCTAACTGATGGGCTGGGCCTATTAGTCTGTGATCTCCCACTAGTAGCTCGCGGAGAGTCTGATGACACGGGCTAGCTACAGTAGTAGATAGCATGCGGGAGTCGATACACGCCCTTCGTTGTGACTTCCTGTGCCTCCGAGGTACACAAATAAAGCGGATCAGGTCGAGGTAAGCTGGCTTGTTCACTTGGTTTTCGCGCCATAACTTCTGAACGCGGCACTTGTACGAAATCGCCATTTTAAAACTCAAGCCAGTGTAGCGCTGAACCCGTTGGTGTTGCTATTTTACCTGTTTGTTGCGCGTGGTGGCAGAAAACGTGGTAACAGACGGACAGACGGACAAACCGTAAACCTCGCTGCGCATGCGCGCCGAGGGTTAATAACCACCGCTCCGCACGTGCTGCTCAGAGCCTATCACATCCTTAGCCAAAATAAAATGCGGTAGCTAATGGATAACAACAAGCAATTATTACGCTCCTCCTTCAAACCAAATAGTTATATATACAAGTGGAAAAATCATTTCTTCATCACGCTCTTACACATTGGATGAAGAGGAAAAATTACCTGACAAAAAGAGCGAGGTCATCATAGTCAGTGGCTGCAGAGGTGTGCATGACACACTGGTACTCCTGGACAGAGAGGTGCCGTCGCATCTCCTCTTGCAGACTTTGCTCTATGTCCTCATCTATATATCAGTGCAGAGCCAAGTTATGAACTGCACTCTAGGCAAACCATGCAACGTTGGATCTGTATGTACCCAGGCCCTTCAGGGAAGTCTACTTTGAGTCACGTGGTGTGGATTACGCTTGTGCACAAACACCAAGCTCTTTTCACCTTTAACTAAAAAAGGCCCGGGTACACAGAAAGCTACATAATAATTATGGAGCCGTCATGATCTTTACCTGAGTGTTCTCCATGACTATCGTGGTGAGAGGTGTTGAGATTGTGGCCATTACTCGGTGACGTGGGGCTGATTGCTCCAGTCGGCGGGGACGACAGGGACGGGACAATATAGACGTAGGTATGCAGCTGGATAGAAGTGTATACAGGAACCACATATTAAGTGATATGTTCATTACACACACAAGTAGTGGGAGCTAATGTCAGGAATATGAGATCAATGGTATTGAACATCAGGTGCAGTCCCATGTACCATAGGGCAAACTAACAAAATTGCCACAAACATATTCATATAATGATGTTATGCTGGAGTCCAACCTGGGTTATCTGTCTGTGTCTCAGCAGCCACACAACCATCTGTATAGTCTTCTGCATAAGAGAATAAATTCATTTTTAGCTTACCCAATGACAAAACATTGGTAGGAGTGACTAAGTCACGAGTAGGTGAGTAACTGACACAAGTGATAATCAAACGGTAACGTACATCAGCATAGGTGGCCTTGAGCTCTGCCATCTGTCGTGGCAGCTCCAGGGTGGACAGAACCTGTGGCAGTGAGAGACCTGGCAGCTCTGCAGAGAACCTCTCATCCAGAGACGACCTCCTATACCGTGCGGGCGATAGCATGGGAGTAACGTGACTCAGCAATGCTTCACTCACTCTACATGGATGTGTACGGTATCTACACCAGTGACAGACACTGAGATTGCAAATACACATGTAAAGCCAATGCTGTTTGTTGCACGAGTACTCTACATTTGTAATAGCTTGGCATCAAAGCTCCTTCTTCATTTTGACTCATACACATTTTAGGATATTTTGCCCAACATTCACCAGGGGTGTAGTTCAAATATTTGCAGTTCATCATGCCAGCCCTATTATGCACACATCAGAGTATAATAATAGTCTTTGCCAACACCATGACTTAATAATGTCATGTTCAGGGGGACTAGCTACTGGATCACTGACACTCTGGTCTCTGCAGTGGGACTGGCTATGTAGACGTTGCTCTCAGAGAGAGGGTATATGGTCATGGCCTTGCCCCAGTGGACCAGGTGAGAGGAGAACAGGAGGACCTGGGACAGGGGGACGTCTGCGTCCAGTGACACATCCTGTAGGCTGCACAAAATAGCACATCTCCAATGCTCCTAGAGCCATGAAGCTACATTCACATCGCATTAATTATTAATCTCATCATTATGCATTAATGCATAGCCTATACACCTTCAAGGAAGAAAAATATCTGAGGCAGACTATGGCAATGCATTCACTAGACTATGGCATGACGTTAAGGGATCATGCATTAAAATCCGGGAGACTCCATTTCAAGGGGCATACAATTAAGAGAGGGGTCTCACTTCATCATGGGAGACAGAGTGTTGAGCAGTCTATGCATTGCTGGGTTACAAGAGGCAGGCAAGGAGGCCATTATATTCTCCAGACTCTCCAGCAGCAGGAGGGCAGAGTAGGACCTGGGTTTTATATAACAGTATATATAATATAGTAAATGACTGGAAATCATACAGTTGGAGATGGGACATGTGCGCTTTGAGGAACAAAATGCGGAACCATCAAAATATTAGACCAAGTCAGAAGGGCTGAGAAACAGAAAGACTACGGGTGAGTGCATCAGTTGTGGAGGCAGAGGTTTGCTGATACTAGTCGCCTACATCCATGCTCACCGAAGCTTGAATCAACCCTCACCGAAGCTTGAATCAACAAAGAAAGGATTTGAACCCCTTAGCTCTTGCTACACTAAGGGAGAGGGGGTTATGGAAGTGATGTGTATCCATGTATGTTTTGAATCCATTACTCATACGTACCTCACACTTGTCTTTGCCTTTCTGGTCTAAAGATAAGAATACATGAGTACACTTTCACTGTCCAAAGAGATTTGCTCACTTCTGTTTCCTCTGAGTCAAGCTGCACGAGAGTTGAGACTTCTGTCCATTGATTGATCTTGACTGTCAACTGACTCTGGCCTTCCTGCAAGCTGCAATATAATACATAATCATTGTATCTTAGATTCAAATGCTGAAGGCTGAAGCATGATGACGTACCAACAGAGTACATCATGTAGTGACTTTGCCAGGGAGCTAGCCCTCAACAATGACTCTGCAATAAAACAGAACTGATTGTAAGTGTGTTGGCTGATTCAGTCTCAGTCTCATTATAGCTACCATCAGAAGGGTCAGCAATGTCCATGTCTTCCAGACACTGGAGAAGGATCTTGACCTCCGTCTGCAGGAAACCACACCTACACAACCATTACCAATACTTATAATAATAGTTTGTCTCACAGAAAGACAAAATTAGAGCTGCGAAATTCATATTACATTGTGCTAACAAGTACACACACAAGTGGTGATGATGTTTTTGTAGCAGAAGAAATGGTACTATAATATATCACAGAATTCATGGCATGTATAAAGCAACTAGCAGAACCGGCAGTGAACATAAGGTTTAGGACACAATTCTCAACATTATATACAATGTGCTACTAATAGCCATATTATTACACTTGTTAGCCACGCTTTGCCATTCTCCTTGAAACTGAAGCAGTCATTACAGAGGATAATGTGTCCCTGCAGGCATGCCATGTCGTACTTATACCCTGAGCAACAACTCTTTGAGATTATAGAGAATATGCAATGGCTAATAGATTACTTTTCCTCCTCATGGACGACAGCAGATCCCAGTAGATCAGAGAGGTGATCATACTCCCTCACAGTCTCAGTGTTGGAGCAGGCCTGGTACGTAGAACATGTAGAATGATGTAGCTAACAACCTGTGTACTTCAACAGTATGGCCTGTGACTTTATAGTCACTTAGTGATGAAAGCAACAGGCAGCACAGTTTGTACTCCTTACCGGTACTGCCCACTCTAGAGTGAATGGTGTTCAAAATGTGATGTGATGTTTTGATGCTTTCCCTCTCAAACAGACAGCTAGCATGTGTACCTCAATGATGAAAGTAATGTTGAACTTGTCAAACGACTCGTTTTGACGGAGAAAGGGTGTCCTACGAACTTCCACTGGTCCACGTTGAGTTCGAAAGTGTGGTTCACCATGAGACGGTTTGGGGCTAGGATCTCTGACAGTGTCCGTGCTGGCAACTCACTGCCAGGCATGCCATGAAATACACTTTAAAAGAACACCGCATAATGCTACCTGAGCAAGTCTGTCTCTCTATGGCCATCTGCAGAGGTCAAGAGGCAAGGCAGAGTAGACTGGCACAAGGCACGCAGAGAGGAAAACCTTGTGATGGTCTGCCTTTGTCATAAAACAGGAGCTTTCTGCCTCTGCTCCCTGATGTTACTAGACACACCGCCTGTGGAGGAGCACGGGTCATTGCTTCGCAAAAGTGGGCGTGGCAGCTCCTCCCTGTGCGGGGGTGTGGCCACTGTTGAGAGTAGCTTGTGATGATCCCGACGATACTGAAAGTTCCCTGGGGATTTGAGTCATGTGAGAATTTTGTACATTATAATTCCCTTTGGGATATACTAAATGTGAAAGGGAGGGAGTATCACGATTCTCGAGTCCGTCAGGTTAGTGTGGGAGGTTCGTTGTCATCACCTGCAGTGATGATTCCAGTCTTCAATAAGCGAGGTAACTAGAGGAAAATCTTCCAGTATCAGTTAGCTGGAGCCACTATAACGGTTGGTCTATTAGCGAAGGCAAAGAGAGGTGACTCGCGGCGTATGCTACACGTCGCGTTGCCGATGGTGAGCACAGACCCCGGATGCGGTATATACGAGGACGGCTCTTAGTACGTTACCTAACGAGTCAGGTATGTTGCTAGTTGGTTCCCCTGTCACTAGCCAGCCTATAGCAAACATTTCGCTTTTCACCACGAGCAGAAAACTAAATGCGCAGCTTATACATGCAGAGCAATATTCAACGTTACAGGGAATCCTAAATAGGGAAGGATCCAGGGGTTCCCCGTAGTGTTCTTCAAGGAAAGCCTCTGCATGTGCCTAGCTAGAGCATGGGGACGCAGAGGCAGTAACTGCTCATCTTACTCAACTGGGCTTATGCAAGACTAGCATCAATTATACAGGGCATTGATTGTTTTGTGACCCTGAATTGCCCACTAATGCAATAGCTGTTTATGAATATCCATTGTGTATCATCTCTAATATGCACTCTTGCAGAATGGGTAATAATATTCCTTCATCCGTACTTGACAGCCATCATTCGGATGGAATAACGATAATGAACAAACAAACGTTCAGAGTAAATACAGGTCGAAAAAATCAAGTCCTGCTGATAAATATGACACTTCGAGCACTTTTCTTCACAATTGCAATAAAAATCACCAGTGAATTCATTGCGGATAACCCCTTCATTGGAGTACTTACATCTAAAAAGTCACTTACAGATATCTGCATCCCAAATGATCCCAGCCTTGTCATGTGGAGTTTGAACGAACAACAAATCTATTGGAGAGGAAAGCCACACCACAAAGTTCCGATAATCTGTTCATCGGGCTGTGATATCCGGATCACATGGAGCAAGAAGACACTGAATATCGAACTCTATGTAAAGTCAGAAAGCGGTAAAATCCAGACAGACAACGTCCCCATGGGAGAATTAGGCTCTGAGCAACTATGGCCTGTTTTTGGAGCCACAACTGTTGGTAAAAACACGCCAGTACAATTTGAAATACTTGAAAGTATAACACAACAGGTGGAACTACACGACATGACAGACGCAGTCAGGTTTGTCAATGCAGGAGGAAAGATCTCAGTGTCAGAGGACGGTCGTCAGGTGTACAGATCCAACAAAGACAGCGGGAACAGCGTGGCTCTCATCAACAGAGTCCTGGCTCACGGGAAACACACGTGGAAACTGGCCGTCATCAGTGACTTTGGTGCCAGCATCGGGATGGGGCTGGCCACGTACAACTTTGATCTCTCCGACAAGTATCGCAATGATCCTCTAACGCACGTCTACCGCCACCAGGGCCTCTACATATGGCGATCTTACAGAGGCCACCTCTACTCTAATGGGACGCAGCTATCCCACTCCCTCGAACCTCTTGGGTGGCAAAGTGGTGCCACTGTTACGGTGGAGCTGACTCTCGATATGAGGGAAGGTACGCTGGAAATAGCGAAGAACGGAAGATATCTCGGAGTGGCCTTCAGGGACATCAGAGGCCCCGTACAGCCTGCAATTGCTCTGTATGCCGGATACGAAAAGGAGATTCATCTCATTGAGTTCCATTCATCAGATGATTCTATTGAGGATGTGGTGGAGTCAGACAGGGCTTTGGTGAAAAAGACAGAGGGGAGGGATAGTGTAACATTTGATGCCATTTCAAAGATGGGTAAACTAGTACTGTCGGAAGATGGACTTACTCTTACGCGAGAAAGGGAGCATTCTGGGAACGCCTACTGTCTCCTGGACATCACTCTCTCCAGTGGGTTCCACAGATGGTCCTTCGTTATCCAAAATGACCAGGGGGCGAGCACGTGTCTAGGGGTGGCCAGAGAACCAATCACTCACAACAACAAGAGCTGTAACCTGTACCTGTGTCGGGATCTCTACGTACTCCGATCATTCCAGGGGATTCTCTACGCGGAGGGCAAGGAAGTAAGGAAAGGTCTGAGCGAGTTTTGGTTGAGCGGCTCTCTCGTGGAGGTGTCGTTTGAGCTCCAGCCTCGTGGGGGAGTCGTACGGTTCTCTGTCAACGGAGAGGATCAGGGAATCGCATTCTCCGGCCTCACCCCTCCTCTCAGACCAATCGTCGGATTCTACGCCGGCATGGAGAAGAAAGTGACACTCGTCCACTACGAACACATTCACCTTGACCCCCCTAATTCTTCGTCCAGACAGGAACAGAATAAAGTGCATACAGACAACACTCACCACTCCAGTAAACAACACCCTATGCCTCTCGCTCTCGGTCCTTCTAAAATTAGTATGTACTACTCGACATGTATGGTGTGCGGGTCTCCCGTGGATGTAGTAGCTTTGCCTTGTAAACACTCTTATATGTGTGCCGAGCATCTTCAATTGGGACGTAACTGCTTAATATGTGATGAGCCTGTAACTGGTGTTTGGAACATATTGCTTATGTAATGTTTAATGTTGTAACATTCTTATAAATGTATAATCCAAGAGTTTTCTTATATTATTACAAATTAATGCATGTCTGAGATGAGATGTTAACCAGAGCAAAAACACGAACTACCCATTAACTGCATGATTGTGTGTTACAATTGCTAATGCCTCTACATAGATGACAACAAGGATATCAGGTGCTAAACTTGTCATAGTACAAAATATACATGGCTCTTGAATGAACATTACAAAATTAATGCATAGTTACAGAAACATGTAAGTTTCATGCTGTAAAGTGTATGAAGAACGTTTGCACCAGTAGCAGTCTACATCTTGCGGGCTTTGTTAAATGGATTCTTCAGTCAGACTGAGCATGTTGTAGCCCTGCTCTTGCCTGTTGGTGATGCACCTGCGAAGCTCGGCCTGCATGGAGCGGGGGCACGTGACTGTCATACGGTCCATACCCCTCTGCAGGGACACCTGGACATAGTCCTTGGCGCGTATCAGCTCCCTGTGTGTATCACCACACCTGTGGCCCGCCAGAAGATGGTGTGGTGTTTACAAAGACAGTGTGTATAAGACAAAGCCAAATATCGTGCTGAACTGACACATTCATCTAGATATAGGCTATGTCCTTCACCTCAAGCAGTTCATTTCATGGTTTGGTGGTTGATCTGAAATCGTCCGAGGTACAGAGAACAGGGACTGACAAGTAGAACACTGTGTAGAAATGTGGCCTTTTCACAACACAGACCAAACAAAGCTAGACCTTACCTTTCTTAGGCTTTCGTGTCGCCCCACCCTCTCTTCACTCGTTATTGCACTGCACCTATCGTAAAATAGTCATCTTACTTCTACAAACCACAACTAGTTGCTAACTCACTTACACACGCACACAAACACACCTGCTACATCTCTTCTTGTTCTCGCGACCGCTAACAATCTCGTGGGACACGTAGAAGATAGCTCCACAGTCATCACACACCACAGAGAACCCTCTCATGGAGACCTGCCTGTCTTTGGGCATTGACACAGCGTCTCCCATGCTCTGTCGTCCTGCGCCACCTGTTGCTCTCACGAATGCAGCTATACAAACCACTTAGTCGCTGACCCGAGATGCAAAACTACTCGACTGGGACAATCGACCACTTATGAACATAATGTCCTTGTGTTTATTTTATGCTCTTATGCTGCATGTCTTGTTACTTAAAAAAGAACACGTGTTTTGTCAGAACTGAACTACATGTGTATAATACAACATGCAACAGGTACTGTGGCACCTGACTGATTAATCCAATAACACTCTCAGTGGTGCAATCCACAAGCCAAACGTTTATTTAATCATCCGAGTATGATCAGAACTCATGTGACCAGTCCTCAATCTACTTGCGCCCAACCAGTGACGGTTCACCAACTTTGTGCATGTGAAATAATTTCACATACTGATGTACATTCCCATTCTGCACATGTCCATCACATGCAACTGGCCGGTCGGGAGGACTAATGCGCCAAGTGTGCCCTTTAGACGTATGCAAAGCATTTTTGGCAAGCCAACATGCCATTTTATGGCAGCAGTTTCAGAAATAATAGTCTCCGTCCATACAAAAATCGCACCACATTCTATGCATAGGCTTGCTTTACTTGCCGATTTGGATTGGTAAATCAATGACATAATCACTAATGACATTCTTTCATGGATCAGTACAATGAAGAGCGTGGAAAGGACTTCTGAACCATCATGGCACACTGATGGAGGCTGTAGTGGGATGCATACTCTTGCTGAAACTGCTCCACAACCTCTAGCGTGACACGGTAGCGATTCTTTGGCCATTTGAAATCTGCAACCATCTCTCGAAATGCTCGCGAGGGCTTCACTGCCTTTTCCGGTTGTGTCTGGCAGAACAGTGCCAACGGCGTCTCCGATTTGAACTGCTGTAGATCACACTTGTACTTTTTCATCTGTCCTTTGACCTCGTCCAAATCCAGCTCACCAACGAGGTGATCCAGTAGACTGGGGTCGAGGTAGTTCCAGTGCGATTTCATCTTCTCGAACAGTGTGGAATTATCCGCTGCCTTGACGAGATCATCCAAGTTCCTTTCGAGGAACATTTTGTGATGGTCGTTATCGTCAGCACCAAGTGACGTCAGAGCATCCAAAACGTCCGAAACATCAACGTTTCGTTTCCTGATGCATTCTCCAACAGAGTCCTTGAGACATTCGAACCCTTTTTCTAGCTCTCTGATTATCCGTTTCACTCCATACTTACTCCTCCCGTGATGGACTGCAACTCTGCCAGTTGCTGTAGAATAGGAGTATTATGCCAGTCTAAGATTTCGTCACTAACTTACCAGGTTGATTGGAAGATTGTACAGTGGTTGATGCATCTAAACGGTACAACACAAACCCTTTGCCACACACTCTACTGTAACAAACGGGGAAAATTACCAGTTGATTTTTGTTTGTCAGATGGTACAGTTCCCAGACTGGACAATGTAGCCAAAGTCAGGGAAGCTGTGTAGAGAGATAGAGAAATGATGATAAGGAAAAGGTCAGCTAGAGCAATGTGGGGGGGGGGAGTGCACTTTAGAGCTGGCTTACTAGGAAGAGCTGGCTGGCAGGTCTTTTCCGTTTCTGAAGCAACAGGTTCTTCAACTGAAAAGGAACCTCAGAAATGACTAGCTATCTGGGAAGAGCGTCTAACCAGAAGGGGATTCGGGGATAGGCTGCTCAGGGTCTGGGAAACGTGCCTCTATCGTGTTAGCCAGTGGGGACATATTGACTTCAGGATGCCTGAGGGCGTCTACAATATCCCTCCACGTCGCGCTGGACCCACGGCTCAAAACTTCCTCCACGACGCGGCGGAGCCGATGGCCCGGCTTTTTATGAGCCACATGTATGTCTTCCACTACGTCTTTGGGCAACCTCAAGTTGAGAGCGAGGTAGTAGGAGCGGTTTCTTGCCGGGAATAGATCTAAATACACGCTTTCGGTATCATCGGGAGTCAGCAAAGTCTCCTCCGAGCTCTCCGCGACTGAGTCCGCATGGTCCGCGACAGCCATTCTCCCTACAGCGCTTCCGCATGCGCGTGTATTATAATACGTGTGCTTGGGCGCGCATGACTTCAAACGCATTATGTCATTGAAAACTCTCCCTTTGCACCAAAAAAGGGTATTTCTAGGACAGAAAATGAGTTCTGCACGCATGGTTGATCAGTCGTTACACCTGCACACAATAAGGTTGAGACACATAGTTTAGTACAGATAGACCAGTGAGACCACCTCACCATTCTCTTAGTCAGTTTCTGCAAACCCTTTTTGAGTTTGGGGTGGAAGAAACATCTAGTGCTGTGATGGAAGAGAGAGAACACATGTGTAGGTACTATTCTAACACACTGTGTGGAGTGCAAAATGTGTAGCTGGAAGTAGTCACCCCTTTTTGTTGAGAAAGTGAGTGGCTGAATCCATGAATACAAGTGCCAAATGCTCTTTGGCAACAGATCTAACATTTTGGGAGGATGCCAAATGCAATAGACGGGTCTTTACTATAGTCAAACATCAAACAATGAAGATCCTCACTTGAATAGAGCACCATAGCACATTCACGGAGATCGTAGTGAGAGGCATGCTCTTGACGGAACTGCTCCACGACTTCCAGCGTCACATCATCTGGCCATTCAAACTCAGCAACTGCAGCCTGGAAGTCTGGTGACGATCGAAGTCTCTTTCTCCTGCACACTTGGCAGAAAGGAGTCAGCGGTGTTTGCACTCTAAACCGTTTCAGATCAGACTGGTAGGCGTCCATCTGTACTTTTACCTCTTCCAAATCAAACTCTCTGACAAGGAGATCCAGCAGACTGGGGTCGAGATAGTTCCAGTTAAAGTTCATTGTTACGAACAGACGATTGTGGTCATTGTGCTCAACCGCTTGACACAGCTTGTCCACTTTAGCTTCTAGAAATGCCTTTTGATACTCATCAGTGTCTGCAGATGTTAGTGTATCTACAATATTCTTTACTGGTGTTCTTCTCTTCAAGCAGTCCTTTACAGTGCCCTTATACTTGGTGAAGCTTTTATCCAACTCTGTGACACGCTCATTGACCTCCTCACTTGTTGAGAGGCGTTCCTCAGCAACTGTTGAGGGATAGCTAAATAGATAAAGCCGCACTGAACGCCATTCATTGGCCTGAATGTGGAAACAATGGGGGTGGTACTAGCGGAGGCGTGCTGTTTACTCTGGCCACGCTATATATATACCGCAAACCACCCCACAACGGCACGCAGAAAAAATAATAATAATGCTGGTAAACTCACCAGACGCACAAGACGATTTTGGCGTTGCTTCGCGGGTTGGAGTATTTGCAGGGAAATGCGCTGCTTCCACTTTTCTAGCTAGTGCTTGTAAGTTGACAACGGGACTCCTCAGAGCATCTACAATAACGCTCCATGTCGCTCTCTCGGCCACGTCCACGAAATCGACGATGACCTGCCGGAGACGCTGGCGCGGATTAGAGTATCTGTTGTGTATACTCTCAACTTTCTCTGACGATAATCTCAACTTGAGACCTAGGTCATACGATGCGTTCTGCGCCGGCAGCAGCTCCTCAAAGATGTCCACGACATCGTTAGGAGTCAGCGCCTCCTCCCTAGCTTTTCCGGCCATTCACCAGAAATGTCTCGCGTGCCTAAACGCATGCGCAGCTCGACCCCGCGACCGTCCGGCCGCGGCGCGGCCTGCAAGTCAATGAACTGAGGCTGGGCATACAAATCTTGGTCCACGGGTGAAGTTTGCAGGGATAAGTGCAATGGGCATCTGATCCAGTGCACTGCCGTGGGGCTTATTCTTCTGGGCCAATATCTCATACCTACCAACCATCCAGATTTTTGCTTGAAAAAATACTGCCTACATAGGTCTCAACTGTCCCGAATTAGGCGTGACAGTACCGATTCTCACAGCCTTGTCCCGCCCGTCACCTGGCTTGTCCCGCCCGTCACGTTGCTTGTCCCGATTTCTCGGACGTATAATTATTGTATGCGCGGTAGTGAAAAAAAAAGGTTTGCAGCAGAGCAACGAATCATGGACAACTGGACTCTGGTACTCGGGACTCTGGTACTCGGTACTCTTTAACACTGCGTATATGTCAGTGTACTGTTGCTTCAAGCATAGACTCGTATAAACTGGTGAGCGATCGCGGGTAAATACTAGTGGGCGGGTCCTGAATTGAACCATATGCGCATGCGATTCGCGCGTATGTCCCGATTATTAATATTCATAGCCCACCTACTCTTTCTGGAAGGTTGAGACCTATGTGCCTATCCCACCAGAAAATTGCCAAATCCCTCTTTTTGTGCTTACCTGTGATGCACCACGCCTATACATTTTGAATGAACACACCCCATTTTCAAGCAAAAATATATAAAATGGAGCAAATTCGACACATTTCTCAAGTGTGCGTTTGGGCATAAGCAGTTAACAGCCTCTGTTGAACTGCTGCATTTCCTCTTCCATGTAAGCTACTCGTACTTTGAATAATTGTACATAGCTATATCCATAGCAACTGCTTGGTGGAGTTCTGGGGCCCTCAATCGCTTCCGTTGCATACTCCAGACTTTGAAGCAGACATCAGGTCGTACGGAAGACAACCACTCAACCACAATTTCGTCAGAGAGAGTTTTGTCCCCACTTTCATCCTCCAGTAGAAGAGGCACCAATGTAGGCGGAAGTGTGGGGCCCGGGACTGCAAAAGTTTCATCTGCCATGTCCAGAGCGAAGGATGTAAAACGGCGCCCGCATTCAAAGTGTAAATGGCAGAGTGACCTGAAACCATCGCAAAGACCGTTGTAAAGGGAGAGGAGTGGTGACATGCTGTTCCCACCATGCAAGTGAAGGTACTCCAAGCAAGGCAAACTGGAGACGACGCTGAAAAGAGATTCAGGCTTTTGAATGTTGTTCGATACACTCAGAACCCTTAGCACAGAGCACTTCTGCAGTGACCCCAGGTTATGTTCAGTGAGTGTTCCCCAGCGGGAAAGCTGAAGGAACTCAATACTAGAGAAAACCCTTTCCAGCAACAAATCCAGTGCCTTTGACAGGTCTTCTGAAATAACCTGCCATGAGACTAGCATTAGGCACAGTGCTCGAAGATTGCGCGGCCAAATTGTCAGTTTGGTGAGGGTTGTGGCAAGACTATCACTTGGCTCCGATGTCACATACAGTAAGTCCCTGCAATTCAGAGGTACAGGTATCGGACAGAGAGCTTGACTGTGCAACCAAAGGGACGAGGGGCTACCAACAAAATGGGTGATTCTTCGCAACATTGATGGATCAGTGAGATACACGTGGTCTGTGGTTGGACTTAGTATGGTGCCAAGGTGCTGGTAAAGGTGAGGGTCAACTTTGGGATCCATCGCTAGCAAATTAATCCCTTTTAACTTGACCTCCACCCATTCACGCAGTGAGCACACTTTACTCAGGGTGCTAAGTGTCAGTTTTGTGGTAGTGTGATCCAACAAAACGTTAACGTGTAGGATGAGTGGGGTCTCATCCTCTACGTTCAGTATATTCTGGAGATGGGGTCGCCAGACACGGAGAATCCGTGCCTCTCTCTCACTGACATAGTCAGAGTAGTGAGTCACTGGGACGCTGCCATTGACCAGGTTGAGCAGAAGTGGTACTGCAAAAGGAAAGTGCACATTGCCATACAGTGTATGGAAGTGCTTAATGGCAGCACTTGAAGGTGAATAGCTTTCATCACTATATAGCCAACACTATACGCACAAACTCAACGTTAACAGTAGTATAGTTTTGTGGTGCTAGTTGACATTATAATTGTGGTGCTAGCTGACATTATTACAAAAGTAGAATGCACATAGGGCAATCTGCATGCCAAAAAATGGTAATTGGCAAATCCAAGAGTTGTTGAAATCCATATGCAAAAACAACACTGGTCATGCAGAACACTGTATTTTTGCCTAAATATCATAAAATCTAAGGTTGAAAAAATGGTAATAGCAATCCGAAAGATTTATGTTGAGAGGCTTCTTAATGCAAAAAACAGTACTGGCCATGCATTTAAAAAAATGTCTTGCTTCATTGAGTGTTTTAGCCGAAAAATGGTTGAAAAAAAGCCACCCTACATCTCTCCAGACAGACGTCTATGGACGCAGTGCAATGGGATTCGAACCGGGCACCTATGGTGTCAGTCCCCACGTCTCGTCTCTAACCACTTAGCCACTTGGGCTGGCCACGAGAGGTGATGAAAAAGCATTCCTCTTATATCAACACTCATATATACATCATTATAAAAAATGCCCCAGACGGGGATCGAACCATTGATCTCACGATCTAATCTGTGTGTCTTTATCCATCAGGCCACACCCAATACTTGAGTGGGGGAAGGTTCAATACTCTTATAGTAATTTTGTTTATGCTGAAAAGCATGCACAGTAACCACTTATTGATGGGCTGAACTATGAATGTGTATACTCGTAGACTAGCTCGCATAGAGTCTGACACGTGCTAGCTACACTAGTAGCAAGCATGTGGGGAGTCGATACACGCCCTTCGTTGTGACTTCTTGTGAACACGGAGCAGGCGGGTCAGGTCAAGGTAAGCAAGTGCGATTATGCATATTGGCTTTTTCCATTGTTTTCACAAAATCTCTCTCAAATGCAGTCATTTCGGGGGTTTAGGCTCGCATATAGTCTTGAAGCTGTCAGTATTACTCATAGGCCGCCCCGTAGCCTGTAGTGCCAGAATAAGTGCGACAAACAGACAGAGAAACCAAGTCCTGTAACTCTCGCTGCGCACGCACGCCAAGGGTTAGATAGTGCTTACGTTGCTTTGGGTTGATAATGACAGCAGACATATCCAAACTGCGCAGTCCCACGCTCTGGGACCCTACTTGCCCATGGTAGTAGTAGAGATTGTAGAAGACTCCCTCCAACAGACTGGACACTATGTCGGTACTAATGTAGCGAGCGTAGCTGCCGAACACTCCCATGTACTCGTGAGGCTCCAGGCAGTGAGGTCCACTGCAGCGATGACGTCTGCACAGCGAACTTTGGGCCAGAAAGTCCAGAGTCAGGTCTCCGTGAGGCCACTTTTCTACCAGTTTCTTTACAGCCAGCTGGTTGTGGGACTCCAGGGCCAGGTAGAGGAGGAAGTAGGAGATCCCACGAGGAAGGTGGAGAGAGGCCCGGTCCAGGAGATACAGAGAACCCAACACAACAGCAGTGCACATCTCGAACAAAATCCGCGACATTGTATATAGCTAGCTAGCTGACGTCAGCTTATTGTTGCGCATGCGCATTCTGTGGTGCTAGCTGACTCAGGCCCATATCTTCTTCACGACCCACAATTATTAAGTACATAACAGCATTCTTCTCATGTAGCTATGCAGTTGAGGAATCTTGCAAGTTAAAGTCATAATGGTAGACTGCTACGGTGCAACTTTCAGTTGTGAAGGTAATGCTATGACTTATGACATTATTATTATTATAGTCACACATATTGTGCGACAGCATCAGGTAGTTAATGGATACATAAGACTACTAGGTATATAAGTATGCTTCACAGCTCAGACAAGGCTACACTAAACAGAAAGACAAGGTAAAAAGGACGTATAGCAACATTTTGCATGCCTTTGCTTTGCGACCTCGTGATGTTTACATGGCATACAGCAAACATTATTGCTGGAGTAATTGACTTTTACCGTATTGCTCTGAGGCAGTTATTGAACTTTTGTGATTTAAAAATCAACATTTTTGCATACTCTTAAGATAAACCTTCCTCAAGTGAGCTAACATACCGCTCTAAACAAAGTTTTGAAACTTGCTTTCCTAGTCTGAAGCACACCTGAGGTCTCAGTGAAGAGAGCCACTCCAAAAGAACATCCTTGATGCCTTCAAGAGCAAAGATATACGTAGTGACTGCCTCTGAACCCTCTTTCAAACCAACTAGTGGCACCAGGACTCCCTCCAAGACGGAGTACTTGTCATTCACCAAGTCCGTTGTTGAGAGGAGTACCGAGGAGAAACACACGTGGAAATGACAGAGGGACTTGAAGGAATTCACAAGGAGGCCATGGAGGCAGAGAAGAGACTGGGTTGTAAGGTTGAGTCCTTCAGACCAGTGGAAGAACTCCAAGAGAGGTAGCTGAGAGATGGCTGTGAGAATCTCTGCCACCGAGTGCTTAGGTCTGGCATTCCCAGGGTCACCCTGACAATTCACACTAAGAACTCGCAACTTGGAACATTTTCCCTGTCCAGCCGAGATCTGCGGAAGTGAAACTCAAGCATTGTAGCTGCAGGTACTCCAGACTATAGGACACACTTTCAACTAGCACACCCAGTGCCTTTATGACAAGAGCTTCAGCGTCACCTGCCTGCTGCCGTAGAAGGCAGAATGATCGTAGATTTCGAGGATGGCTAGACAGTACAGAGAGCTCGTTGGCAAGACGCTGACTAGACCTTGAGCCTAGCAACAGTAGGTCCTTGCAACTGAGCGGGACTTTAGCTGCCTCATTAGAATCCACCCACAGAGAGACTGAACCATCTGAAGCATAGTTTTCCCACCCGTTCACATCCAAAATGTGTGCAGGGCCAACAACATGACACATTAAGGCCTTCAAATCTTTGACAGAGTGTAGGCCAAGTGTATTTACTCCCTTTAGCTTGACTTCTACCCATTGGCAATGTGAACACACCTCATTCAGAGACCGAACATCGTCCCTACCTTTCAACAGGACATTGACAAAGAGAGAAGGTGGTGGCTGCTCGTGCGTATTCGGTCTATGCAGTCTGGAGAGACTGACACACTTGGTTTCACTATCGTTGCCATTTTCTGAGAGAGGTGAGGTCCCTTTCACCAGGCTCAACAGAAGGGGAACTGCATTATAATAACAGATGCTATTACAACACATCACCAGGTTCTTTAACTCACACTTCTCCGCATCTAACACAATACAAGACGTGTCCACATGGCGAAGACCCAACTCCACCGGCAAGCCACGGTGGTGGTAGTAGAGATTGTAGAAGACTCCCTCCAACAGACTGGACACTATGTCGGTACTACTGTAGCGAGCGTAGCTGCCGAACACTCCCATGTACTCGTGAGGCTCCAGGCAGTGGGGACCACTGCAGCGATGACGTCTGCACAGCGAACTTTGGGCCAGAAAGTCCAGAGTCAGGTCTCCGTGAGGCCACTTTTCCACCAGTTTCTTTACGGCCAGCTGGTTGTGGGACTCCAGGGCCAGGTAGAGGAGGAAGTAGGAGATCCCACGAGGAAGGTGGAGAGAGGCCCGGTCCAGGAGATACGGAGAACCCAACACCACAGCAGTGCACTTCTCGTACAGTGTCCGCGACATTGTAGCTGACGTCAGCTTATTGTTGCGCATGCGCATTTTAACTGCGTTTTCTTCTACGTTTGTGATTCAGATCCTTCTCTAGGACCCACAATTATTTCAGGAGAATAAGCACAACAAAATGTTAATTAGATAGATGTGTAGTTCCCTTATATCTATACATTAATGCAAATCAATGCCAGGTAGCCCCCAGTCTTGTGTAAAAATTTTGCTTCTCACACCGTAATTATGCTAAGTCAGGTGTCAGCCAGGGCCAATAACATATATGTATAGGTTTGATGATGGCAAGTATGCTCGAGTAACTGGATAGACATGGACGTCATGTTTGCTCCGCGAAAAGAGCCGCTGGTTCCGCCTCGTTACCGCTTGATATCCAGGGACCAACTCCACAAGGTGAGTGGTGACCAGAGCATTAGTGCTACATAATGACGCTGTCTCTTTCTGCCGCATGTAGGCCCACGTTGAGGCCGTTACTGATGCTAAGAAGCTCCTGGAGATGACTCCAGTTCTACTGGAGAGAGAGCCGAGAGGAGAGACTCTGAGACATGATGAGGAACTGGACGGGTACTGGAGCACCGCATGGTTTTCACCAACATCTCCATGAACAACGACAACAGGGTAGGTGTGTAGGTGTAGACTGTGCTTAGAGTTAACCGTACATACATTGACAACAAAAATCACATAAAAGAAACTTTGTGTGTGAAAGAAGGTATCTTGATCATAATGCTGGCATATGTGGTGGGCGTGCTATTCGCGAAACTACTTTCGCGAATTAAATCAGCATAATGTTTTTTGTATTGTAAAAAATTCTGTTTTACACTGTTTACCCTAGCCTATGGTTAACAGTCCATATGTTGCTCTCCTTGAACCCCTAACATCTACTCCTTGTCCTCTGCCTCCTCCTCCTTGAAACCCTCCTGAACCTCTCAACACTCTCCTTGCTCCAGGACAGAGAGGTGGTGGTGAGGAAGCCGACAGGAGTCCTACAGGAGGCCACATGGGTGGAGAGGAACCGCATGATGCAGGTCTACTTCCCGAGCCTCGGACAGAGGATGTGGCTGCCTCACATGCTGACAGAGGAGGGTCTGGTGCCCGTCCTGGAGGGCGGCAGATACAGAGACATTCTGGACATGGCATGTCTTCAGTGTGAACCTGATTCTGAAGACTATATCAGAGTCAGTACAACATGTGTGTTCACCATTTTCACGTAGAGAGTTACAATTATTCCTACATGTATTACTTATTGCCAGTTCCCTCACTGTTAGCAATGCACATGCGAAAGCGAAACTGTTGAGTTTTCTGCCAGAATTGGACTGAACCTATAATATAGCGCAATCAACCACATTGTTCAGAAGATGTTGTAGTTTGTTACAGACATGGTGTGCATTTTTCCCAGGTTCATCGCACTGTGTACGATAGAATTGAGGTGGAGGGAGAATATGACAGTCTTCGGTCCACGCGACACTTCGGAGGTCTGGTGTGGTACCTGGTTCAGCAGGAGAGGATTGTGGGACTAGTGAAAGACTTGGTGGAGAAATACCTGTGAGTCTGTTGGTATGCTTCAGAGGGAGAAAGTTAAAGGTTTAAGTTTGTAAGTAGAGAACATTCAGTGCTGTTTTTTTGCCATTCATTAAACTGTTCCTCTCTTTCCCAGGTGTTCAGAGGGAGAGGCTCTGGTTGAGCTATATTTACTCTGTCACCCTCACTGCTCCCTGACCAGCAGCACTGACTCCACTCCTGGCAAGAAACTGGAGGTAAGCATAGTCATTATAGCTCTTTACGTTAGTACAGAGTGTTCACATCTACGAGAATGACTGATCACACGCAACACAGTACACTTTTATAGCCCAACTTGAGCAGTTTACACCTTACAAGTCTGGTTATTTTTTGCTAAGCAGGTGCAGTGATCTCTGACAATGTCTTTTACACTGATCTATTGTTAACCCGCAGCGTGCATGCACAGCGAGGGTTACAGTACTTGGTCTGTGTGTTTGTGTCTGTCTGGCTCTAGCTCAGCCAGTATAAGACTCTCCGCGAACTACTAGCGGGAATTCACGCATAGCCCAGCCCATCAATTAGCGGTACCGCACATGCGCAATGCACCGAGAGTTTGCATTTTAGTGCTTTTCATTATTCTGCAGGCATTCTGTCGTCACTATTCTCTGGGACAGCTCCTAGCACAACTTCCCACCTCCCGGACTCTGAAACAGACACAGCCCTAGCCACACAAAGCACATCATAGAGCACAGTGTATAGCTATAACATTGTCACTGCATGACTTATAATCCTTTGTCTATGGTGTACGTTCCTCCAAACATGTTTGCAATATTAACGCTGTAAACCGCACAGGGAAAACCAAGCACAGCATCAATAGAAAATTTATTATGAACAGTTTGGTGACTTTTATGACCGTTACAGACTATTTGGTTATTGTATAGCTACTACTATTACAGACATGAGATAACTGTTCACAGTGCCATACTCTAGTTGGTAATGGAAAAAAATTTACTTTCTTGCAAAAAACTGGAACTCGGTTAGTGGTTAATTTTATTTTCTGGATCTATAACGATCTGCATGAAGCCGCAAGTAGTCTGAATTTACTCCCATCATACCCCAACAAGTCTCCCCGAGTCTCTTCACATTATGCTGGTGGGGATAAATTATCCCCATCTCCAGACATTTCTTGAGACGAGGGTCTAGACCAGAGAATGACTGTAGAACTTCAGTGTCTGGAGCAGTGAATGAGGGAAGAGAGAATAACTTCTTCCTCTTCTTCTTGAAGAAAAACAACTGCTTGAAATCAATTTCTACTCTCGTACCATAATTACGAAACTTCCTGTCCCAGAAGAGTTGGGTCTGGGGCTGAGTCAGGTCTGAAGATGAGAATGATCTCCTGAGATTAGGAGACATGCCACTAGCAACGGCCCCCACATTGAACTGTTGAAGAGGTCCAAGTCCTGTCCACTGGCAATACTCCCCGTCTTCACCAGCAGAGAGAGGGAGGAATAATCCAGACTGGATCTTCATCTCTTCGAGAGTAGTGTTGTCCTTGAGAATGTCGTTTAGTTCCAGAAGGAAGTCAGTGCAGGTAGTCTTGCCAGGTAGAGGAACTCTCTCCATGGATGAGAAAGAAACAGGATTAATAATATTAACCCTAAGTAAACTCAGTATTCTGGATGGTGGTGATTCGACATCATCAATAATAAGTTTTCTCAAGACTTTGTTAGTTCTCAGAGCGCTACATATGTAGAGGATTCCATCATAGCCCAGTCTGGTTCCCCTTAGCTCCAATGTGGTAAGACTGGGACAGTGCTGTAAGATGCTCCAGACACCAGCCATGGTCTCACGAGATATGACGTTGCACAACATCATTTCAGTAAATTGGATTCATTTTCAGAACTGATTTTGGTAAAGAATCAATCAGCATAACTGTTGAACTGTGACGATTTCTGGTGGGTGGAAATTTAATATCAACCACAATCTCTGTCAGTCTCCGTTCAATTATCCATTGAAGTAGATTGGTTGGTGGCGGAGTGCATTCCTCTCTGCTGGAAATGTGCAATATTTTCAAATTACTGAGAGACTGTAACACTGCCAGCCACTCCCAAGATTGAATTGGATCAGAATGTACCTTTAGTATTTCAACACCAACAAGTGCCCGCAAATAATCAACATGGGCACTGGAAATACATTTGAATATATTTCTTACTCGTTTAAGTTTAACAAGCTTGGATTTCATTAGCCAAGATAGACACTTGTTTGCATTCTCATATGGTTCAGTATAATATAGTTCTACTTCAAGTTGCGTGACATTTGGTGTAGTGCTTTCGCAGTGATCATCAAGTCCTTTGACAAATGTTTCCACAAGTGAAACATCACTTTCATGCATGATGCTAAGAACTAACAGAGATAATGGATATGAGGAAAGTGCTAGGCAGTACGAAAGAGCATAGCTGTCATATGGTTTACTAACATCTTTATAACGACCAATGGAAATTCTTGAATGTCGTCTAGCCACACTAGCAAAATAATGCGATAAAATGTTTGGATTTTGAGCCTCATAGAGAGATGAGAACAACAAATCGGAATAAATAAGACCTGCAGTGTCATGACTGAGATACATCTCCCAACAGTTCCTGTCATCCTCTGACTGGCATTTCCAGCCAGTGATACCAGCCAGGAATATGGCTGGCTCCACTAGCGACAACTGCTGGTGCTTCAGTGATGATATTAGAGCTCCTTCCTCTTCTGTTTTAACTCTGTGTGTGAGAGGAGGATGTGAAGAAGTTTTAACTCTGTGTGTGAGAGGAAGATGTGGAGAATGTGGGAGTGAAGGAGTTCTTCTTCATGGTGCTTATAAAAAGATGGTGGAGGTAGACCCCGATTGGGTGGAAGAAGTGGGAGTCTGGGAGGTTCTGTACTAACAGACAGCCAATGATAAGCGATCTGAAACTGAATGCTGTATCTATTAGCTAGGTGCCAAGCTGCCAGGTATTCCTGTAGGCTGAGGTGGAGAAATGACAATGTTCGTGCCATGCCTTTGCTAGCATACATTTCAGTGGATTCGTTCATGAACCCGAAATGAACTAATCCCTCAGGGATATCCTCCTTGAAAAATGTTACCTTCCTTGACCCACGTTTGTGATAGCTATCGAAAGCAAACTTTGCCAGAATTTTTAAACCTATCCATATGAGTTCCATCCAGACCTTCTGGAAGCATTGATGAATACTCACAACTGCTGTCTTTCATCTTCATGTATCTGACGAGAAGAGAATGAGTGAGTGCCTTGTACAGATGTGTTCTTGTTCTTGGTATAGCGAGGTGGCGGCTACTCTGAGACTCGTAATAGACTTGTGCTATAATGGCACAGTTGAGTGGAATGTACATCATTGACTTTATGTGAGGAACAAGAAACATGTACTTTAAGAAATTTACTTGAAGCTCTGGTTCCTCGCTAAAGACCTCAGTGATATACCTCACTCTCTCTTCCTCTGTGAACCGATAATTTCTACGTGTTTATCGACTCGAGGCTGCAGACACTTCTGAGTGTGTGCTTAGCGGATGGCCTAGTAGTTAGGATGATGGTACATTCTGGCAAGAGTTGCCTGCACAAGATACTTTTTATGACAGAGTTGTCATGGAAACTGTGAGAGACTTCGTCGAATCCGTCTAAAATCAGCAAGAGGTTATCCCCATGGGAACTATTCAATGCATTTGCAATCGCTTTACTAAATTCAGGATCAGGAGGGTATCTGAAGAGATCAGAAGGTGATGTGGCATTCAAGACCCACTTTTCCCTCAACTTGAGCAGCACCACAGTGTGGTAGCCTCTGAGGCTTTCTATCTCGTCCCATTTCCTACACGCCTCCCAGGCAAAGGTACTCTTACCAATTCCTGGAGGACCTTCCACCTGAATGAACCTGACTGGAGCACCACTGTCTTCTGGAGTCAGCAGGTCCCTAATGCTTATAGATTTCTTACTCTGGAGAATCTGATCTACCCCTCCATGCAGTGTTTGTCTAGTGAATTCATCTCTCTGCTCGGCGCCACAGTACCCTCTACCGACCATGGCTAGGTTGATGTAGGAGACACTGAGAGTGGGAAGGTACTTGTCTGCTGGAGCTAGGGCTCTAGCATTGTAATATGACTTCAGGTATTCTTTGTATATAGCCAAGACTGGGTTTAACTGCGGTGCAGACTGACTTACTTCCAGAGATGTCTCACCTTCTATACTCAGTGGGTTACCTGAGTTGACGTACTTGGCTTTGTTGGGCAGTACCTCCCCTTTGTTTCCTGCACATAGTACAGAGGAAAGCAGTAACACTAATACTACTACAGCAAACCGTTATTCCTACCTGTAGTGTCAGATGAGGAAGTCCCAGTTTGAAGGGGAGTTGGGAACTTTGCAAACTTCTCTGTCGGGACAGACTTCACCTGCAAGTAAAGGTTTCACTGCCTAAAGTCTGTTATTCAAACATACAGTTTTATTTACCGGCTTTTCTAGACATTTCTCTGCCTGCTTCCTGCAGCTGTGGAGTACTGCTCTCCAGCAGTGCCTCGATAAACAGGAAGAGCCGGTCAGGATGCGACTTTATTTTCTTGTCGAGCGCACCAACCAAATTAATGGTCTTGGCATGTTGAGATTCCGGAGACATGATCATGTCCTTCATCACTGAAATGGATATCACACCTTTCTTCTGCAGTTCAGCAGCAATTTCAACAGGATCGGTAATCTTGCAGCAGAGGTGACCGAAAAACTGGCGGAACGTTTTCCTGAGTTTCTTGCCGTCTGCTTTGGACAACTTCTGGGCCATGTCACACTCTGGTGAGGAGTCGTCAGTCTCAGGTGGCTTGTCTGTTTCTCCTTGTTTCTTCTCTGTTCCACGTTCCTTCTTCCTCCGTCTAGGGTCAGACTCCTGTTGCTTTTCCTCCTGTGAAGTGGAGGGGGAGGAGCTACCTTTGGCTACGGGACTCGTACCACTCTCCCTGAGCCTTCTCCTTCCCTTTTTCTTTGGTCGAACGTCGTGTTCCTCTCGGTCCCTGCCCCTCCCACCAGGGACTGATTCTCTGGGTACGTGTTGTACATCTGCAGCTGCTTTCACATTCGTTTCTCTTACCGTTTCTCGTCTTTTTCCACTCTCTTTCATTTGTTTCTTCTTAGAAGCACTGAACTCAGTTTTCAGTGATTTTTCATTGGTTCTCGTCTGCACCTCCTCTTCGCTACTGATAGCGGCAGCAGAAGACTCATCATCATGTTCTGTTTCCTCCTCCTCCTCCTCCTCCTCCTCATTCGATAACTTCTGTTCTGAGTCTTTGTCTTCTTCATCCTCACTGCTACCGTCTGCATCTGATTTTTCATTTTCTGAGTCATATTGAGCGCTATCCGAACCAGGCGTATCTTCTTCTAGAGGAAGAGCTGTGGTTTTCCTTGCCGATGAAACTCCTGTTTCTCTTTTCGATTCCACTGACTGCTTCGAATGCGTTTTTCCTCTGGTTGAAGCTACTGGGGCATTTCTCTTCCCTATCTGTTGTTCTCTTGTTGAACTGAGGGAGAGGTGTTCCTTTACTGATTGGGCCATTCTTTTCTTACCTCTTCGTGCTTCTTTAATCTCTTTGCCATCTTCTGATTCTACTTCATTTGATTTGTGAGGAGGCGTTTCGTGTACCTCCCCATCCGAATACTGGCGTTTTTCATCGCTAGCTCCCGTATGTTTTTCTATAATATGTTGATTTTTCTCTTTTATTCTTTTTGTCTCAACTAACTCTGATTTCTTTTCTCTGGCAGACATCTTTGATTTGTCTGCTTTCTCCCTCACTACACCTTGAAATGGTAAATTAACTGTTTCTTCTCCGCTACTAGAGGCCAAAGTTTCATTGTCAGATTCTTTTGTCATCATTTCATTCTCACTGTCTGATTGTGTATCGTCACCTTCTGTTTCTGAAAAATCTTCTTTTATTGAACTCTCCTTCTCTATTTTTTCTTTTCGTTCCTTTTGCACTTTCTCTCTGCGTTCGGATTGTGCAGATGTGACTTTAGTTGATCTTTCGTTCTTATTTTTACCGTTTCCCTCCTCTGGAATTTCTCTTTCTTTATGACGAGTGGAAGACTTCTCTACTGTCTCCCTTACCTTTTTCACCTTTGATTCTTTTTCACTGCTGCTCAAATGTGTTTCTGGGGATTTCTTGGGTTTTGTTCTCAGTGCTTCGCGCCCACTTACCTCCCCATCTGAATCTTCCTCTTGTCTATCACTACTTCTTTCACTAGGCCTGCGAGTATATTCCCCCTCTTCTCTTTCTTCTTTCTCCTTTTATTATCGTGCTCTTGGCCATAGCTAAACAGGTGGCTGTAATTTTCCCGTATGCCATCTGCTACCTTACTCTCACCCACGCAACCTGACCGAAGTGCCTTGTCGATATCATTCCATGTTATGGCTTTTACATTCTTCAAACGCACAGACAAAATTTCAAGCAACCGGTTGTCTGGATCACTGTGTTGTGCTTCAATTTTTTCGATTTCACTTTTCGTCACTCCTATTTGTAAGCCGAAGAAGTTGTACTTTTTACTTACTGGATGAAGTGCTTCAAACAAAGCTCCCAAATCTTCCTCACCTAAACTTTTGCTGGCCGTCTGATCGCCTGACCAAGTGGCCATGATACGCTGTGTTTATCGACGCGCCACACCCAAAATTTTATCGCATGCAGCAACGCAACAACACGCATAGCTAACTCACTCCCGGCACTCCCACAAGACTTGTCTTCTTAGTCAGAAGTAAAGTCCGACTTGCTGGCATACAGACGAGGTGCTTGCCCTTGCTTTGGAAGCTATACACAAACACAAAAAGGAAGGAAATAGGGCGGCCGGAAGAGTTCGCTCGCGTTACGAAACCGCAGTATGCCCGATCTACACACAGCCATTTTAGGCAGTAAAAAATGACAAAAGCACTGAAGTGCAAACCCAGGGGGGGGTAGGACAAGCTTGCGTAGTTACGTAAGAACCACATGACAAAAACGCGCATGCCAATGCTCATAAGCGGTGTATTGGAAGTATGCGATATGGTTTACTTAAGATAAAGAGAGGGGGAAGTCTGAGGACATGGGCTGGTACTCGCCCTCGTCCCTGCAAAACACCGTTACCAAGTCTCAAGACAAACAGGCTATCGAAAAGTTCTCCAACGCAAGAAACCGTTGTAGAAACGGTATGATCGACACAAAGCACAAGTTCTTAGCGGATTTTCTTCACGGAATTCTACAAAGGTATCTGTGGAGTAGCTAGGCTACAACAATTTGGTGCGTGGCTTGGCCTAATGCTATCTACTGTCTACTGCTCATAGCTTGCTGCATTTGTGCAGCAATTGAATAGCCTGACGTACCTTGGATTGAGTCAAATGGTAGTAGTGGAAAGTCAAGGCCAGATGCTAAACGCTTCGCTGGAAGAAAAAAGTCGCAGCTTAGGCCGCCGCCTGCATTCATAAGCTGGCTAGCACGAGTTTGGTCCACCACGATTTTTTCTCTTCTAAGGTGCCTCCTTACTTTCACTCTGTCAAGGAGAACAACTCAGCCACGGCCTATCGATTGCCGAAATTCCTTGAAGACTGAGAAAGAACATATAGCTATCGGGAGTGTTGATTCAGCAAATAGTGCTTACACGTGATCTTGTCACTACCTTATTGCGAGCGGTGTCAAGCAACCTAGTCGTTCGTTGCGAGCGGCATTTGCTATATTATCATATTATTATATTTATTTACTAGTGGAAATGTTGAACATGTGTTGGCGACGCGGAGCGACCAACTTGGATTTGACCGCGATGTTCGGGGCTAGCATAACGTAGCGTCGTCAGCGCACTAGCTTCGTTTCATGAAGCAAGACAGATCTACTTGTCGCCGTTACATGCCGTACTGTATATTGGCCAGAACGGTGATCAGGTGAGCAGAACTGTACTTTACCTTAACGCTTTCAGCTCGGCAGTCCTTGTCACACCTGGCACTGGCATGCAGCATTACTGTTGCACGAACACTCGTAGCGTAGTATGCATGTTGCACCTTGAATCCATGAAGATTGGGAAGAGGTATATACAGTCTCCGACGATGGTTCGGAGGGAGAGTTTCGGAAGCGCGTACAAATAGCGCGCATGCGCACTTACACGATCGTAGCGAGCCTCTATATATATATAGTGCGGGGTGTGTTGTGTTTTGGGTTGTGGGTTTGTGTGGTTTTTGTGTGTGTGTTGGTGTGGTTGTGGTGTGTGTTGTGGGTGGTTGTGGTGGGTGTGTGTTTTGGTGTGGGTTTGTGGTGGGTGTTGGGTGTGTGTTTTTTGGTTGTTGTGTGTTGGGTGTGTGTTGTTGTTCTAGTCTTCGTGACTTTTTCTTTATTATCATTATATAATTATATACTAGTAGGCGAATGCATGGCATTTTTGGCGAGCGGAAGCGCGCTTACAATTGGGGTCTATCGTAGAGTCACTCTTGTGTGTGCACAAACAGTGAGATACATTGCACAGACCAAGTAGGCCGAAACGACCCGAGCGCAGTAGACAATTCGAGTCGAGTCAAAACAGTCAGATCGACAGCGCGAATCAGGCATAATCCGGCAATCTGTTGGTCTTGCAGGAATAGGGAACAAGTGGCAATGTAGAAAAAGCTCTCGCTGGACTGTGCAGCAATACTCGATAGCTTCGGAGGTGTTGCGTTTCCCCTGATTCCGCTCGATTCAGGCAGCATTATGAAAATGTTGAAATCCCTTTCGGATAAAAAGAAGCGCGTAATGCTGGAGCATGCGCAGTTGGACGACGTACGGGTACATATATATATATATATAATTATATAGAAAAATCGCGCCGTTCGGACCACTAGGTTAGCTCGCTTCCGCTCGCCAATTATATATACGACGCACCGTCGTCGTCTTAGTGCGCATGCGTTAATACTAGGGATACGACGCACCGTCGTCGTCTTAGTGCGCATGCGTTAATACTAGTAGGCGAATGCATGGCATTTTTGGCGAGCGGGAGCGAGCACACAATGACTCTATCTGCACGAGCCATCCTACAACTTGAACCTTAGAATCACGAAGATTGGAAGGAGGTATAGATAGCCTCGGTCAGGTAGACGAGAGTTCTTTGGCTGGCTATATTTCGCATCGATATGACAGCTAGGGCAGCGTGTAAAAATTTGCGCGTTCCCTATCAAGAAAGCGACACTGATACAAACGAGCCTCTCTGAGTCTCACGGGCACGATGTTCTCTTTACCTCTCTCTTCGACGACGAAGGGCATCTTCCCCGGACTATATGCACATGTATACGCATGACATCATCACACAGGCAGGCAGCATGTGAAATTTTGAAATCCTGATGTTGAGATTTCATAAACAACAGATTCAAAGGGTGAATGAAAACCAAAATATTGACGAATAAACTGAATATTAACAGCAGACAATACATCTTGATAAGAATAAAATTTTGCATGTTGATAACCATAATTATATATTGTTGTAGCCTGTGAAGGTATAAGAAAGATAACAGCCGATACAACAAGGGGAGAAGATGAGGAGAGAGCAGATGTGCGAAATGACATGAAACGCTTGAGGAGGGTTGTTTCTGATGGCAGGAACCTGACCGAGGCAATGACAAACAGCTGTGTGAGAGTGGCGAGGCGAAACTTCAGATCCGCGTAGTGACGATTTAGTGCACTTGAATTATATTCATATCAGGAGTGGAGAGAGACCAGAGAAGCGCATCCGTTCTGCTCACTGCTCAGTCACCGTTCTGCCAATGTACGTATATAGAAAATTCCGCTCGAACGAACGACTAGGTTTGCCGCGCTTGCATCTTCTGGTGCCTGCCGAGGTACG